TGGACCCAGCTGGCTGTGGCTGACCTCCTGGCCAAATGGGGCCAGGAGGTCATGCTTTGACAGTTCAAAGCAGGCCACCACACCCGGAACATCTTCTGAGCGATAGCTGCCCAGGTGTCCAGGCAGGGGGCACACATGGCAGTAGTGCTGCATAGAGGCCAACCCTGCAGCCACAGTCCACTGGTTGCTGGCCCAGAGGGGAAGATGCCTCTACTGGCCCTGCAGTCCCCATCCAGGTCTGGCAGGCGTGCAGCAGGTCACAGCCAGGCAGCAGTCCCCACTGCAATGGTTAATGGCTGCAGGGAACTCTCAGGGCCACTTCATCAGTCTAGCTGGCAGAAGGGGTAGTGTTCCCAGGTACCAATTGGCTGGATCCCAGAAGCTCCCGAGAGCGAGTAGCCCTGAGATACTTGCCAGGGCAGCTTTTTGTACTGCTGGGGCTAGGACAGGGCAGCTTTTTATACTGCTGGGGACAGCACAGGTGCTGACCCCGGGCTCTGGCTCCCCCTGGCTGGAGATCCAGGAGGAGACAGGCAGTGTTATTTTGCCCCAAGTGGCACAATTTGCTCCACAACAAAGTGCATGTCCGAGCATGTGCGCTGAGGCAAAAAGCCCTAGCTCAAATTTGCACTGCTTCTATTTAAGCTGCTGCAAGCACACATGCTTGCATGTGTGGACATGCCCTTAATGGCTATCACTTTAATCCATGTGTTTTATAAAATTTCTAGGAGGAACTGGGGAGCTAGTGAGGTGAGGAAGAATGGGATTTGGCCAATGTATCTTGACTCTTGAAGGAATGCAGAGGGGAAAAGCAATGCCTACTTAATTGAAAGTAATAAATGGCAAAGTTTTATAAAACTGTTATGTACTTTGTTTAATGTTTTTAAAATTAAGTCTTTTAATTTGGCAAAGAAAAGTGGTTGCTTTTCAAGAAATACAAGGTCATTTCCTTGTTCAGTGACTGAACTGGATGTGTCCTTGTAACAGGGGGGGCCTGCTCGGGGTCTGTCTACTGATGGCCCCGCCCACCTGTTATGGGCCAACTGCCCGCCTTCTTGCCTGCCACACCTTGTTGTTAATTAAGCGGCAGGCTGCCCATTGTATGCCCCAATGCCAGGGGGCACTCCATTCCTCTCCTACACCGCAGTCCAAGCCTAGCAGATGATATTTGTAAATTTCTCTTTATGTTGGGGTCTTGGCTGCTGTGGGCCTACCCCTTCTCTCTCTAGCTAGGCCTGTCAGTCAAAAATGCACTAATCAGGGTTTGACTCCCAGGCTCTAGCTCTCAAAAAAAAATCTCACTCGGGCTCCTGCGCTCTCTGTGGCTCTGGGGTCTGCTCATCCCTGAATACTGCGCCCTCTGTGGCACTGGGGTCAGCTCACCCTCAAATACAGCACCCTCTCTGGCGCTGGGGTCCCCACACTGCAGTGGGCCCCCACTGAGGCCTCCTCTTTCCCCAAGTAGCCTCACCCAAACCACCGGTCTTAACGTTCAACACAAAACGTTGGCTTCTAAGGTCATATAATGGAAAAATTTTCATACAGAAACAAGAGAGGCAACATGCCTTCTTACTTTAGATAATCATGAGAATGGCTCACAGCGTGGCGTGGCGTGGCGTGGCGTGGCGTCCACAGCACCATAGTCATTGGGAGTCCCCCTCCCTGCTGGCCTTCTCCACTTGCCATTTGTAGGATCCTACCCTTCCCCTTCCTGTCGCCTGATCGGCTGGCAGGGCTGAGCCTTAACCCCTACTTGACCAGCCAGCTGTGACTGGAAGGTTCTGGATTTAAAGGGACCACCCTGTCTCTTAGTAACAGGACTAGGGTTCCCTGTTACAGTCCTCAAAGTTGCTAAGGGAATATATGGGGAAAACACATTTGCTTATACACAACATCGGGATGCTTGGGCATGCCACAAAAAATTATGAGTGTGAAATCTCTTTCTGAATGTTCCCATGGGGACATAGGTGTGTTTCTAATATATGCCTTGCATGAAGTCCTAATTTGAATAATCTGTGTGATTTAAATAGAGATGACAAAAATGTTGAGAGCACTAGATCTTGGCCCAATAAAATGTATGTATGGAAATCTAGCTTGCCAATCTATTTTTACTATTTTGTTTATTATAGGGCCATCCTGTCATCTTCATTCACATGAGAAATTGCAGTGACCCACTGCAGCCCCCTAAGTGCTAATTCCCTTCCCCTCCCCCCCGTGGCAGGGCAGGACTCTGTACTGTGGCCCTGGCCAGTCAGAATTTGGACAGCTCTGAGTTACAGCATTGACCCAACTGAGCCTATGTGCACAGAAGCTTACTACGTTTCCTTATTATTATTTTTCCTTCTTCATCACTATTGTGAAACTTGGGAAGGTATAAATTTGAAGGAAATCACAATGTTTCAGGGAGAAAGAATGAGAAAATGCTTGAAGGCAGCTTGATTTATTAAAACTTGCAATTTTGCAACTGCTAAACAGTTTGGGATATTAGAATAAATTATGGAGATGTACATTAGCAGGCAAAACACAGAGAATATAGGAATTGTATGGGTTTCCAATCTGTCACGTGGCTGTCACCTCACCTCTAAAATGCATCACAAATGTATGCACTGTTTATGTATGTAATGGATTAGGATTGCCCACTAATATACCAAATATAATGTTGGCTGACTAGTAAAGTTCATAGTTAAGGTCAGAAAGAAATCGTGTGTGGAATGTACTGTAGATTTCTAAATCATATGATGGTATGTTGATATAACATGTAGTCTGTCATTCTAAAGGCTAGAATCCACAGGTGGCTTAATGATGTACAGGTGTTTGGCAGTTTTTAGTTTACTTTTCAGTTAAGGTAGCAGATCCATGTTACCGAAATACTATAGGATTTGCCACACATGTGGTTCTTATCTGGGAGAGTTATAGCACTCTCTGAGGGTGGCATTTATAGCAGTAAAGTACACCAGGGCCTCTGTCACTGGTTTTATATCACACAAAGCAGTTTCTTTCTGCTACCCACCTTTTTAAAAAATAAATGTTTGAAACCAGAGTGAGGACACATGGTGGTTAGAACAGGGAGGAACCTGTTCTTGTCTTAAAATAAGTGGAAGGCAATTTTATAGAAGGATGGCGTAAATTACAGCCTAGGTATTGTCTCTTTCATAACAATCAGCAATGAATTAAAAACAGGTTCACCATGCCACATTAAACATTCATTTGGAGAGCTGCTGGCAGCATCATTACCTTGGTGGATGGAGGCTTCCATCTCTGGTGTGATCTGGTTTATAGTAAACCTCTTTGCTGCCTGAACACACAGAGTTTCTTTATAAACCATTTAATAGCACTGATTACAAGTGCTAGGAGTAAGAGATTAAATGGTGATAGAAATCTGTTCAATTAGTTTCTGGGCAGCTTCTGATTGGTTTTCCTGGCTGATTGCAGGTTGCTTCCAATCACATAATAATAATAAGTAAAAAAAAAAATTTCACATGGGACCTGATGTCACCTCTTTGGTTTGATTATTTTTCAACTTTGATTTTTTCTTCTAGAGAAGAACAGTTGGGGCCAAAATGAAATCTGGACCCCATTGTGCTAGATCGTATATGCCAAGATAGAGTCAATTCTTACCTCAGACTCAGTGTTTTCTTCTAGCTTCTTCTTGTATTTCATTTTTTGCTGACTTACTCAGCAGTGATCTCCTATTGCTCTTTTCCATTTCCTCTAGGCTGACGTGGTTTGGGATACACCACTGTTTTGTAAAAAGCATGATGGGCCCTGAGGTGAAGATGCCAATCACCCATGATTTCTATACCATGGTGGGGATTGCTCTGGCATCCTGCCTAGTCACATACCCAATTGTTGGTTTCTAGGGCAAAGAGGAGAACTGCTGCTGTTCATGATTCTAACAGCTCTGGCATTGCTTCTACAGCTTGGCCTTCTCAACTGTAAGTGAAGATATCCAAGTGACTTGCACGTAGAGGCTGGTCAGAGCACATTGTATTTCAGAGTGGCATGAGGCTTTGAATCTCTGGCTGTTCTCAGCTAACAACGGGGGTGGGGGAAGGAATTTCATAAAGAACTTCTGCAGTGCAGAGAAGTAGCAAATCAACTGTGCATGAAGAATGCTTATTCACATGTTGTGCACTCTTATTGCAGGCAAGAAAGAATGTAACTCGGTGTAGATTTCCTTCCCTTATCTTCACTCTTTCAATTACAGTGTAATTCTGTTGTCCTCCCCACCTCCTCATCCTTCATTGTTCTGCTTAGTGCAGCAGAGTTCAGTTAGACTAAGGGTATAGCTACATGTTCCAACTAGCACATGCTAGCTTTCAGGGATGTTAATACTCTCTGTAAGGTGCACTGTTCTGACCTGCCCTTAGAGGCCTGGCCAGCTGAGGCATGGCTAAGAGCTGCCAAATTGACTCTGTGTCTGTCCTGCTCACCTGTTCAGTAGGCAGCATAGGTCCCAGGAACAGGCCTGTAGCCCAGATCAGGACCTTGTCAGCCTCTGAAGATGCATATTGGGTCCATCCGCCCCTCCCCACTCCCATCTGTCCAGACTGGGTCCCTGCTGCCTTTCATGAGCCCAGATTGGGCCCACAGCACACCTCTACTGCCCCCCAAAATCATGCCCTTCACCCCATATTAGCTCCCACTCCTCCCAGATTCCTGCTCACCCCCTGCAGCTTCCCACTTACCTGTGCCTGCTGGCACTGTACTAGGGAGCAGTCCAGGGTGGGGAACCTGTCTGCCACCACTGCTGTTACTCTCTGGGTTAGGCCCAGCCCAGAGCAGCAGCTGCTGCAACAGCTGTGGTGGCAGTGGCTAGCAGGCAGGCAGGCAGCACAGGTAAATGGGGACGTGGGGGGCTGGGAGGGAAGGTGGGGGGAGCCCCAAGCCTGGTGTTGAGCATGACATGGGAGCAGGGCGTGGGAGGAGAATTCTTACCTTTCTGTCTCCTCTGGCTGAGGGAAGAAAGAGCATCCACCTGGGGATGGTTTGGAGTGATGCCTCCTGGGCTAGTGGAGGACTGCTCCCAACTCTTGGCCCTATGGATAGTCTGATGTAGCTGCAACATGAGCTACTCAAGATGAACTTGAGATAATCCTCGCTAGAAGAGGACTCTTTCTGAGACACTCAGAGGACACTTAGCTTGTGTTTCCCTGCCCTGATGTGTGGCCACTCCTGTTTAAAGGAGTCCTTAACATATCTTAAAGGTAACAATTAACAGTATCCTTAGTCACCCACTTGAGGAAGATTTAAAAAATGGAGTGCGCTTCCATCTTGGCTGATTGTCTGTTTAGAAAAAAAAAGGGTGGGGGGTGCAAATCTGATATCCGTTTTCTTAAGGAAACCATGAATTTTTTAAGAGAATGGATTCTTAAGAGAATCCATGGAAACTTCATCCAGGTTCAACTGAGCAGGACCCAACAGAGCTGTCTTTCAAGAACACTGCAAAGAAAATCAGCCAGGAAAAAAACAAACAAAAGGTTCCTTCCCCTTTCTCAGCTGCTTTTGACATGCAATATGCTTGCTTTGAAAGTGATTGGCAGAATCCCAGAGTTCCTCTCTGTCTGTGCTGAAAAGGCATTTACTATCTGTGAGGAACATTATTCACTAAATCTGCATCATGGGCATCTGGTTGGATTTTGGTAGCTTCTGGTTCTATCATATATTTTATTTAAAGAAAAAAAAAATGTCCAAATGGCTTTTGGCAAAAGAGTCAGGTTGAGTGGACTGCACTTGCTTCTCTGGTAGCTCCTAAAATGGGTGTTACTCTGAGCAGTCCCACCAATGCAGGAGCTCTTTGTTCCTTCATCCCTCCTCTTTGGTAAACTTGTGGCCAGCCACTGGCAATCCACAGGTAGCAACACAGTCAGGAAACATTGCTCTCATTTAAATGTGGATTGTGTGTATGTATAACATACATGAGCCAGATCCTGTTCTGCTGTAGTATGATCCTGTCCCAATCCCTGTTAAACAGGTCCTGTCCCAATCCTTGATTCTACCCTGTCCCCATCCCTGATAAACAGTTCACACAGAAAATAAGGATGGGTCCTCCTATTTGGCATAATGTTATGATTTAATCTTAAGGGTTTTCAACAAGCTTGCAGAAGGGAGTAGTAGATATGTTGGAGGGTAGGGCTGGGATTCAGAGTGACCTAGACAAATTGGAGGATTTGGCCAAAAGCAGTCACATGAGATTCAAGCAGCACAAATGCAAAGTCCTGCACTTGGGATGGAAAAATCCCATGCACCGGTACAGGCTGAGGGCTGACTGGCTGGGCAGCAACTCTGCAGAAAAGGACCCGGGGGTTACAGTGACAGTAAGTTGAATATGAGCCAGCATTGTTCCCTTGTTGTCAAGAAGGCTAATGGCATACTGGGCTTCATTGGTAGGTGTGTTGCCAGTAGGTCGAGGGAAGTGATTATTTCCCTCTATTCAGCACTGGTGAGCCCACATCTGGAGTACTGTGTTCAGTTTTGAGGCCCCCACTACAGAAAGGATGTGGACAAATTGGAGAGAATCTAGCAGAGGGCAACAAAAATGATGAGGGGGCTGGGATAAATGACTTCTGAGGAGAGACTGAGGGAACTGGGCTTATTTAGTGTAGAGGAGACAAGACTGAGGGGGGCTTAATAGCAGCCTTCAATTACCTGAAGGGATGGAGGATGGAGTTAAACTGTTCTCAGTGGTGGCAGATGACAGAACAAGGAGCAATGGTCTCAAGTTGCAGCGAGTGAAGTTGAGGTTAGGGCTTGTGTAGATGACATGGGAATTAAAGTAGGCCACCCAAAAATTTTAATGCGGCTTTTTTTGGTGTGGTGCATTTTTATTTGCATGACATGGCATTCGTGTTTGCACAAACGGTGATTTCGAGTGAGTTAAGCCACCATGTGTCATTCCCCTGAAATTTCAGTATGGGGAGTTAAGTGCCAATTCACTCCCTAGAATGACTTTCCTAATGTATTACAGCAGAAGGCACATGTGAACCACCCGGACTCCCCAGTCCCCGCCCCCGGACTCTCACTGGGCAGACCTGACTCTCACTGGCAGTCTCCCCTGGGCAAGGTCATGGTCACCCCAAAGTCCTTGTCACTTGCACCTGCCTATGCTCATTCAGTCTGGTCTCTCTCCATCAGTACATGATCCCAAAGACCCCATCCCAATCCCAATCCCAATCCCAAAAATAAGATGCATGTGTTTTAGAATGAACTATTGGGTTCAGAAGATTTCTCGCGCTTGAAGAAAGGACGTACTCACAGTTGTTCTCACTTTTGCAAGCTTTATTTAAGGATACTCGCAGAGGCAGGCAATAGGACAGAGCAGAGAGGATGATTACTTCACATTGGCTCTAGGCAGCAGCCGCCACTCCGCATAATTATTCTGGCTCCAGAGTGTCTCAATCTCGGGGATGGGATAGCCTGTGCTGGGCTCTATGCAAAATTTCTTGCTAGAGTGAAAAAAACTCCTCGTAACTTAAGAATGTACAGCTCATATAGTTTAAAGTAAATAACATTATCTCAAACTAGAGATTTAGTTATTTCAAGCTAAAAATTTAGAAATGAGTCATGATCTAACACACCTAGTGTTTACTACGTTCTAGTGTATTACAGCATTCTACTATCTAAGTTCATAGTTCAATCACACTCACAAAGCAAAAAGCTACGTGCTATTTCACCAGCCTACTATAAAGTCAACATACCAAACTCTTGCTATAAGCATTAAGCAAAGCTCTTACTATTACAGTATGAAACCTCTCCTCCCATTCCTTTCCCTTCCCATCCCACCATGCTACAAAAATATGTTTTTTTTTTCATTAACTATAGCTGCTTAATAACTGCTTTATCATAAGAGTAGCAGGTGGGGCTATGATATCATAAGAATAGCAGGTGGGTGTGTGTATGTTTGTTGCCGCCTGGTTGATAGGTGGTTGTTGTCTATGTTGGTGCTGGTGAGCTCTTCTGGCTTTTTTTTCAGGTTTTTTTTTTTGGACTACATTTCCCAGCACTCCCAAGCTCATTGATCTTCATACAGTTTCCAATGAGAAACCCTCTCTTTTCTTGGCCAGGTACACTGCCACAATAAAGGCTATTAGATTTTCTTGATCCATCTCGAGCCAGCACGTAAGCATCCTCCATCATCCTTTCAGTCGGCCAAATGCACATTCCAGGCTGTCTCAGGGCACTAGGGTGTCCTGCTCCTTTAAGGGTTGAAACTGCTAGAGAGAGAGCCCTAGAAGTCAGTTGGGAGCCCCAGCTGCTGGTTACCAGGGCAGCCAGAATGAGATAGTTGGCCCACACCTGTCAGCTGACCAGAAGGGGCAGGGCCTAGCACATATATAAACCACAGGGCTGAGGCCAGGAAGGCAGTTCTCTGCCAGTGGCCAAGGGGGAAGGAGCCCTCCTAGAGAAAGCAAGGGGAAGAGGCCTGACTATAAATTGTCTGCTCCTGGTAACTTTTAAGGGACAGAGCACACCCTGTGCAGCTTGAGTTATGGTGTAGCCTAGGTGCTTGCAGTTTTGATTTTTGTTTATAACACCGGTAGTTTGGGTAAGTCTATTGGGGAAGGAGAAGGCCTCATGGGGGTCCGCTACAGCATGGGGACCCTGGTGCCGGAGAGGACACAGTATTCAGGGTGCCCAGGCCCTGGCACCAGAGAGGGTGCAGTATTCGGGGTGCCCAGGCCCCAGCACCACAGAGGGCACAGTGTTCGGGTGGTGAACAGACCCTAGTGCCAGTGTAGGCGCAGAGAGAGACAGGGCTCCAGAGAGCCTAGTGACAACCCGAGGCCAAGTGAAATCAAGGCCTCGGAGGGGCACTGTGGGAATACCATCTACGAGGCTTGGGGCGGTTTGGAGCCACGCATATAGCCCATAAGGCTGGGGTGTTCTGATACATCCATTTTGAAATGGGACCCATGAGGGGTCCAGGAACCCACAGGGTTCAGTGAAGTCCATCAGGACTATGTCCAACTGGACTTGAAGGCAGCCTCCCTATTCATTATAAATGCATCAAGACGTGGCAGGAGAGAAAAGAAGGTTCCCATCAGGCCAAATTGGCATGGTCGAGGGGCCCTAGGGTATCAAGGCCATCCTTGGGGACCCCATCCCGTGACACAGGGCCATCCTGCAACTGCTGAGGCAGTAGTTGAAAGCTATCTTCTGAAAGTTGATAACGCTCCCTTCATAAGGCTTCATGAGCCAGGGCTTTAGGGGTAGGCAGCATCACTACTATACCAGGGGAATAGCGACACTGTAGATCACTGTCTCCTCAATGCTGGGTGCATAGTGTCCTTTCTCCATGAGGGCAAGGAGAGGTGAGTTTCTGAACATGTGTGCATCATGCACACTGCCGGTCCACCCAGTAAAAATGTTTGTGAATCAGTCTTGGTGGTCCACAATGACTTGCAGGATCACAGATGTATATCTTTTCCTCTTTGTGTAAATCCTCCCACTCCTGGCAGGGCACAGCACTGGGATGTGAGTGCTGTCTAAAGCCCCCATGAAGTTCAGAAACCCCTTCTCATTAAAGCCATCTATGACTTCCTGCAGATTCTCCTGGTGGATAATGTTTGCAGCAATCTCCTTAAGCAGCTGGCATACTTCTCCATTTGGCTGCCTGACCATGCAGGCAGCCACACCAAGCTGGTTGGCAATGTAGCAGAGGCTGGATGGGCTGGCCAATTTCATGGTGGCCATTGCAACCCTCTTGTCTGGTGGGATGCCCGGATGCATGTTTGTGTCCTGCCTCATCATGTGTGGCCCCAGCATTGAGACAATATGATAGAACATCTCTCTTTTCATTCAGAACATCTCCACCAACTGCTGGTTGTTCCAAGTGCTCTGCATGATTCACTCCCACCAGTCCAAGTTGCTCTTGTGGGCTCACATCGTGTGGATTCTGGTCCTCCTCCTCAGTTTGTCAACAGAGCCCAGTCAAATTCCACTTGTTTGCTTTGCTTTGTGTAGTGCAAGTCCTCTGAGTTCCTGTTTCTTATTATTATTATTGTCATTAATGCTGTTAAAGCAGGACCACAACTTGCCACTGAACAGTATAGCACAATTCCTATCCTTCCTTCTTAAGCATTCCAGCAGTAATCCCAAGCTAAACAGCATTTGCAGAACCAGTACTTCCTCCTCCTCCTCCTTCTCCTCCTCCTGCTCCATGTCATCCATCATATTGCAGATTTCATCCTCGTTCTTCAGTTTGCCCCTCTCCATCAGCAGTGGCCTCTCACCCATCTGCACCAAGTGGGGGGCAGGGACTGTGTGGTTGGTCTGGAGCTTGGTGTAGCTGCTTTTCAACACATCACCTCAGCACCTCGGGGCATTGGGGCTTTTGCACATCCTTTTATCCTGAACTTAGCAGTCACTGGTCTTCTGATGTAATCAAGCTTGCAAACAAAAAATGTCTTGCCTACTCCTCTCCTGGCTATGCAAAACTTTTGCCATTTTAATGGGAAACAGGCTGTGCTTGTGTGAAAAAAATATTTTGCACAAGCAGCCAGGTAGGTCTCAATTTTTGCAACATTCCGGGTCATTGAGCAGCCATCCCAAAATACAATGGCCTTATTTACCCCATCGCCTTCATTTTGTTGTTAACTGGGTGCTTCATCACTTTTGGGTCTCTTGACACTTATAGGTAATGACTTCACAATCCTTGGAATTTTCCCAGACTCTCATGCAAGCACAGCCTGAGTATAAAGGCATCCCACCCAGAATTTCATAGATTTCATAGATTTCATAGACATCAGGGCTGGAAGGGACCTTGGAAGATCATCGAGTCCAGCCCCCCGCCCAAAGGGCAGGAAGTCAGCTGGGGTCATAGGATCCCAGCAAGATAAGCATCCAGTTTCATCTTGAAGGTGTTCAATGAAGGCGCTTGAACCACCTCCGGTGGCAGGCTGTTCCAGACCTTGGGGACTCAGACAGTAAAGAAGTTCTTCCTTATGTCCAGCCTGAAACGATCTTGAAGTAGTTTGTGACCATTCGACCTCGTCATCCCTTGGGGCGCTCTGGTGAACAAACGTTCCCCCAGATGCTGGTGGTCACCCCGATAAACTTGTAGGTGGCCCAGCCCCTTTCACAAATCACTTGTGCTGTTGACCACAATCTGCTTTGACATGTCTCAGAAAGCCAAGGCCAGCAGTATGGAGCTGACAGCCCAGGAGGCTGATACCTCCAATGCCTGTGGACCCAACTGGAGCCAGGAAGAACTGGAGGACTTAATCAACATTTGGGCAGAGCAGAGGATCATAGACAGGCTGGAAAGTAGGAGGAATATGCCTGTTTATGTTTAGATTGCAAAGGGCATGCAG